GTGTATATATGAGTGCTTATGTCTATACTGTGTTAAAAACACAAAAGGATACAATAATAATACAAGCCAAGTTGCCACGCGTGCATGCACAAATATCCCATTGCCATGCATGGACCCGTTCTGGCGTCTGCCACTACCACATGGGCCCGTTTCTACCTGTCCTGGGCCCACTACTCCTTCCACTGCCGTGACATCCAACGATTCATCTACGCTATAAAAACTCACAAGCTCACGACGCACGGTCAGAACTCACACACACACATCCGCTCAGTCAAAGCCCTTAGCCACCGGAGTATTCCAGACCACAGCAACACTATGCGGGCTCCGGCGAACCTCCTGCACCGCAGCACGGCCGTCACAGCCGGCCCCAGCGAGCCGTCTCCGTCTCCTTCCTCGCTGCCGCCGCCTCATCCGGAGCAGCAGCAGACGGCGCAGGTCATGGCGATGGACTCGGACATGGTGGTGATACTGGCGTCGCTGCTGTGTGCGCTAGTCTGTGTCCTCGGCCTCGGCCTCGTCTCCCGGTGCGTGTGTGGGCGACGACGCTCTAACTCTACTTCATCCTCCGTGCCTCTTCCCCCGAAAGGCCTCAAGAAGAAGGCCATCGACGCGCTCCCCACCGTCTCCTTCACCGTGGCCGGTGCCTCACCGCAGTCATCGTCATCAGCGGCGGCATGCTCGTCGTCATTGGAGTGCGCGATATGCCTTGCAGAGTTTACGGACGGAGAGAGCGTGCGCGTGCTCCCGCGCTGCGGCCACAACTTCCACATGACCTGCGTCGACGCCTGGCTTCGGACGTGCGCCACCTGCCCCTCTTGCCGCGCCCCCATCGTTGTCACACCGGCTCAGCCGCCGGTGGGGCCAACGGTGGTCGTGGTGGTGGCAACGGCGAACAACAGGTGCAGGAGGTGCGGCGAGCTGGAAGCGCCGGCTGGTGGTGCGGATAGCACGTTCTTGCCTTAGCTTTTATCTTACTCTTTTTCGAGTGTTACTGTTAGGTACTAGTATACTAGTATTAATTGCTTGGCAGTTTGTCAGGGAGCCGGAGGAACTGAATCTTTTGTGAGACATATTGGATGTACGCATCTCATGTGGGCTTCGTGTAATTTCAAATCTGCCTTCTATAAAGTTAAGGCATGCTATTGGTATGCTCTTGGAAAGGAGTCAGACTTGAAATGTTTTCCCTGCAAAAGAGAAAAAGTCCGCTCTTTTTTCAGGGAAAAAAGTCTGTACTGTTGTTGTACCTTGAGTACTCTTCTACCTTTCGTTTTTATCTACCAGCAAAAAAGCCCGTGCATTACAACGGGAGAAGAAAATACCGCACAGTTCTAACCCAATAACCATGACTAAGACCCCGATAGGTCTTGCCGAGGCGTCTCTCTCGGTATAAGATGACAAATCTGCTTTTTTCCATGGAAGATTTTACTGAGCGTACATGCACGATTATCAACTGTTTATTTCGTCTCCAATTTGACTTTGAGGTGTTCATTGCAATTCAGGTCGGTGTCTGTACGAAAGAAAGATAGATCGCACGCTATTATCAAGGTTGCATCCTAAATAACATTTAAAAAATATTTAACAGGTAAAATAACATCATATTCATATTGTACATATTTTTCTAATCAAATTTCATATGTAATATGTTAAAATTGAAGTTAGGGTATACAAGATATGGGTATTTAGAAAATTATTATTTCTTCTAAATGGACTGAAGGTTAATTATAGAAATGATAGGGGGTTTTCCGCTAAAATACAAAAAAGATTCATTTTCCGTCACTTAATGATGGAATATCAGGTTATTTACCAAAAAAGAGGGGATTTTATGTAAAATAGTAAAAAACGGTTCGTAGGATTGTCCCGAACAAAAAACAAGGTGCTTGCAGTAGGATTGGCATGTCTACACAGGTGTAGAGTGGGATAATGTGCATGTATGCGGGAGAAACATGGAAACATTAAAGTTTTTGGCAAATGTGACAGACTAGCTACGTTTGTGATAAGATCATATGAGAAGAAGATATTATAAGATCTCTGCACTTCCGCTGGCTTTCATGATGGGTGGGATGCCCTTTATGTGTACCGTCTAGTCTCGAAGATTCACCTTTTCTGTAGCGAAGAGTTCATCAGCTACCTGGTGATTGAAACGTCCATGGTTTTGAGTTTGGGGACCAGAGCATGTACGCATGTTAGTGTGGTGCAGGTGCAACGGGTCATGGTCAAATTAACAATGTTGTGATCATTCGGATTTTTTGCACCAAATTGTGTCCATGGATTTGGTGTCAGCAGTCTTGTTCGAACCAAAATAATCCCATGTGAGGTACATGCCGCACTAGCGAAAGTTAGAGCATGAATGTTACTCATATTGAGAGTAGCATGCAGGCCGGCCGGCTAAAGCAGACGAATGGACTCAATCCATCTCCAACGGCAATCCGCAAAGGGCATCTCCAACGGCAATCCGTAAATTTCCTCCCGCATTCGTCTGCGGGCAGGAACCAGTCCGCAGAGCCGGATGCAGAAAGACGCCGTCCAACCATAGCCGCAAACATTTTAAACTTTTTTTAACAAATCGGATAAAATTCATGCGAACTCGGCCGGATTTCATATAAACATGACGAATTTCATACAAATCCGATGAGAATGGTTACACATTAGACATATTTTATCTAAAAAGGTAAAAATATGTGCATGTATAGTCGCACGGAACTCCACTCCCACGACACGGATACACTACATTAGTCTACGGCCGGCCGCAGCAGATCCCTTTGTCTTTCTCATGTTCGGCAGTCCGCTAACTGGACTGCGGGGAGCCCCGGCCCGGAGGAATATTCTTTCCCCATATTTTCCTATGTCTGGCTACTCCGTTCATTGGAGTGGCAAAGAGGGTGCTTCAGCCGGAGGGAAAGGTGCTTCCGTGAACCCCAAAC